GAGTTTTGTCTGTATGAAATGCCGTCTGATAGAGCTGATGGAGGAAAAGATCCGAGGTTTGGAGATGCAGGTGGAAAGTCTAGTAGAGTTTAGGAAGGAGTTTGAGCAGATTACGGAGCAAAGACATGAGGTATCTGAAGGGAAAAGCTCAGACTTGCAGGTGGAATCAGGGCTGGGGAATTCTGAGGGGAGACTGGGTGAGGAAAGTGGTCAGTGGAAGCATGTGACTAAAAGAACCAGGCAGAGGAAAAGACGAAGGAGTGAAGGAGAAATAGAGCTCAAGAATAGGTTTGCAGAGTTGGAAAATGAAGAAGGGGCTCAGCAGGTAGTCACTGAAGGTGGAAGGGCAAGGAAGAAGAGAAGAGCGGCTAGTCCTATAGGAAAAGGGGAAGAGTTAATGGAAATTACACCAAATATGAGCCCCAGGAGGATACAGGATGGGTTAAAGAGGATTACAATGGAAAATAGGAATGGAAAGAACTTGCAGCTAGAGGGAACAGGGGATAGACTGGAGAATAGCACCGTCACTAGGAAAAGGCAGGTCTATGTGATTGGGGACTCTTTACTGAGAAGAATAGATAGGCCTGTAACCAGAGCTGATCCAGAGAATAGGAGGGTGTGCTGTCTTCCAGGTGCTAAGATACGGGATGTAGACCTGAGGTTGAAAAGGATTCTAAAGGGAGCAGGAAAGAATCCCCTAATTATCCTTCATGTGGGAACAAATGATACGGCTAGATTCTCGCTGGAAAGTATTAAGGGAGACTATGCTAGGCTGGGGAAGACGCTTAAGGAAATCGAGGCTCAGGTGATCTTTAGTGGGATTCTGCCTGTTCCTAGAGAAGGGCAACAAAGATGTGACAAGATTATAACTATCAACAGATGGCTTAGGCAGTGGTGCTATAAGGAGGGCTTTGGGATGTATGGCCACTGGGAGGCATTCAGGGACAGAGGACAGTTCTCTCGGGATGGACTTCATCTGAGTAGGGAAGGAAATAGACTTCTAGGATGGAGGCTGGCACAGCTGATTATGAGAGCTTTAAACTAGGAATTTGGGGGAGATGGTTGGGAGATGTCCAGGTAATCTCCACGCCGGATTTTAGCATTGAGAGGAAAGAAAACGAAGTAAGAAAGGATACAGCCGTGGATAAGAGGAAGGGCAGTGTAGATACCAGTCTAATAGGTTATACTGGCTGTAGAATGACCGTGCCTAATAGGGTACAGAATGTGAGTGAGGCCAAACAGCAAAAATTAAGATGTTTGTACACTAATGCGAGGAGCCTAGGTAACAAAATGGAGGAACTAGAGCTACTGGTGCAGGAAGTGAAACCAGATACTATAGGGATAACAGAAACATGGTGGAATAGTAGTCATGACTGGACTACAGGTATTGAAGGGTATGTGCTGTTTAGGAAAGACCGAAATAAAGGTAAAGGTGGTGGAGTAGCATTGTATATCAATGATGAGGTAGAATGTAAAGAAATAAGAAGCAATGAAATGGATATGACTGAGTCCGTCTGGGCAAAAATGACATTGGGGAAGAAAACTATTAGAGCCTCCCCTGGGATAGTGCTTGGGGTGTGCTATAGACCGCCGGGATCTAATTTGGATATGGATAGAGCCCTTTTTAATGTTTTTAATAAAGTAAATACTAATGGAAACTGTGTGATCATGGGAGACTTTAACTTCCCAGATATAGACTGGAGGACGAGTGCTAATAATAATAATAGGGCTCAGATTTTCCTAGATGCGATAGCTGATGGATTCCTTCAGCAAGTAGTTGCTAAACCGACTAGAGGGGATTCCATTTTAGATTTGGTTTTGGTGAGTAGTGAGGACCTCATAGAAGAAATGGCTGTAGGGGATAGTCTTGGCTCAAGTGATCATGAGCTAATTCAGTTCAAACTGAATGGAAGGATTCACAAAAATAAATCTGCAACTAGGGTTTTTGATTTCAAAAGGGCTGACTTTCAAAAATTAAGGAAATTAGTTAGGGAAGTGGATTGGACTGAAGAATTTATAGATCTAAAGGTAGAGGAGGCCTGGGATTATTTTAAATCAAAGCTGCAGAAGCTATCGGAAGCCTGCATCCCAAGAAAGGGGAAAAAATTCATTGGCAGGAGTTGTAGACCAAGCTGGATGAGCAAGCATCTCAGAGAGGTGATTAAGAAAAAGCAGAAAGCATACAGGGAGTGGAAGAAGGGAGGGATCAGTAAAGAAAGCTACCTTATTGAGGTCCGAACATGTAGGGATAAAGTGAGACAGGCTAAAAGTCAAGTAGAGTTGGACCTTGCAAAGGGAATTAAAACCAATAGTAAAAGGTTCTATAGTCATATAAATAAGAAGAAAACAAAGAAAGAAGAAGTGGGACCGCTAAACACTGAGGATGGAGTGGAGGTCAAGGATAATCTAGGCATGGCCCAATATCTAAACAAATACTTTGCCTCAGTCTTTAATAAGGCTAAAGAGGATCTTAGGGATAATGGTAGCATGACAAATGGGAATGAGGATATGGAGGTAGACATTACCATATTTGAGGTAGAAGCGAAACTCAAACAGCTTAATGGGACTAAATCAGGGGGCCCAGATAAGCTTCATCCAAGAATATTAAAGGAATTGGCACATGAAATTGCAAGCCCATGAGCAAGAATTTTTAATGAATCTGTAAACTCAGGGGTTGTACCGTATGATTGGAGAATTGCTAACATAGTTCCTATTTTTAAGAAAGGGAAAAAAAGTGATCTGGGTAATTATAGGCCTGTTAGTTTGACATCTGTAGTATGTAAGGTCTTGGAAAAAATTTTGAAGGAGAAGGTAGTTAAGGACATTGAAGTCAATGGTAAATGGGACAAAATACAACATGGTTTTACAAAAGGTAGATCGTGCCAAACCAACCTGATCTCCTTCTTTGAGAAAGTAACAGATTTTTTAGACAAAGGAAATGCAGTGGATCTAATTTACCTAGATTTTAGTAAGGCATTTGATACCGTGCCACATGGGGAATTATTAGTTAAATTGGATAAGATGGGGATCAATAGGAAAATTGAAAGGTGGATAAGGAATTGGTTAAAGGGGAGACTACAACGGGTCCTACTGAAAGGTGAACTGTCCGGCTGGAGGGAGGTTACCAGTGGAGTTCTTCAAGGATTGGTTTTGGGACCAATCTTATTTAATATTTTTATTACTGACCTTGGCACAAAAAGTGGGAGTGTGCTAATAAAGTATGCGGATGATACAAAGCTGGGAGGTATTGCCAATTTAGAGAAGGACAGGGATATCCTACAGGAGGATCTGGATGACCTTGTAAACTGGAGTAATAGTAATAGGATGAAATTTAATAGTGAGAAGAGTAAGGTCATGCATTTAGGGATTAATAACAAGAATTTTAGTTATAAGCTAGGGACGCATCAATTAGAAGTAACGGAGGAGGAAAAGGACCTTGGAGTATTGGTTGATCATAGGATGACTATGAGCTGCCACTGTGATATGGCCGTGAAAAAAGCTAATGCGGTCTTGGGATGCATCAGGAGAGGTATTTTCAGTAGGGATAAGGAGGTTTTAGTACTGTTATACAAGGCACTGGTGAGACCTCACCTGGAATACTGTGTGCAGTTCTGGTTTCCCATGTTTAAGAAGGATGAATTCAAACTGGAACAGGTACAGAGAAGGGCTACTAGGATGATCCGAGGAATGGAAAACTTGTCTTAGGAAAGGAGACTCAAGGAGCTTGGCTTGTTTAGCCTAACTAAAAGAAGGTTGAGGGGAGATATGATTGCTCTCTATAAATATATCAGAGGGATAAATACCGGAGAGGGAAAGGAATTATTTAAGCTCAGTACCAATGTGGACACAAGAACAAATGGATATAAACTGGCCACCAGGAAATTTAGACTAGAACTTAGACGAAGGTTTCTAACCATCAGAGGAGTGAAGTTTTGGAATAGCCTTCAAAGGGAAGCAGTGGGGGCAAAAAATCTATCTGGCTTTAAGATTAAACTCGATAAGTTTATGGAGGAGATGGTATGATGGGATAACATGGTTTGGTAATTAAATATTCATGGTAAATAGGCCCAATGGCTTGTGATGGGATATTAGATGGGGTGGGATCCGAGTTACCCAGGAAAGAATTTTCTGTAGTATCTGGCTGATGAATCTTGCCCATATGCTCAGGGTTTTGCTGATCGCCATATTTGGGGTCAGGAAGGAATTTTCCTCCAGGGCAGATTGGAAGAGGCCCTGGAGGTTTTTCGCCTTCCTCTGCAGCATGGGGCACGGGTCACTTGCTGGAGGATTCTCTGCTCCTTGAAGTCTTTAAACTACGATTTGAGGACTTCAGTACCACAGATATAGTTGTGAGGTTTTTTGCAGGAGTGGTGGGTGAAATTCTGTGGCCTGCATTGTGCAGGTCAGACTAGACGATCATAATGGTCCCTTCTGACCTAAATATCTATGAAGGTCAATGGTGGAGAAGGGGAAAAGCTGGTAGACTAGAAAAAAATGAGATCTGGAGAAGCATAGTGGGAGGTTACAGGTGAGTATCTACCACCACAATAAAGCACTCCATCAACCCCCCTTTATATGCTCCCTAGCAACAACTGTCCCAGAACGGACTCCCCTTCTACATTTCAAACCTTCCCACTCATCCAAATGACTGTCATAAAAGTGAATGTTAGGGCTGGCTGTGTACAGTAACTCTGGGGACTTCAGCCTTATGGAGAACTTGGTGTTAGTTCCAGGCAGTCATTTTACAAATTAATGGGGTTTGCTTTGCTCCACACTTGAAATGAAGATTTTCAAAAAGTTAGTGCAGGCTTGAAAAAATGTCACCCATCATTTGCATCAAGCCGTAAATATGATGCCTATGATATCTGTTTCAATTAGAGACATACCTATGAAAATAGACTTATTTTGGGTGCTGATTTCTCCTTATTCACAAGTCCTTTCCCTACCTACGCTTGTCCCATGTGTAAATATTACATGTTATTGGGAATAAAGAGCCTTACATTGCTGGGAAGTGGCTGGTTGAGTACAGAACCAGTGGCTTGTTGGAAAGTGGAGGTGCTGCAATTTCTGGAGCTCCAGTATTGCTCGCTTCTTCTTTGCATGCTCAGTCCTTTCATTTTCTTTTCTTCTCCAGGTCTCCAATCTGGAGATGAGACAGAGACACATGGTGTTTTCAGCTAGGATGCTTGTACACCTGATCTTATCTTCTCCATTCTCCCAGTTTGTTCATAATAACAAGGGGCTAGGATTAGACTAGTGAATTTCAGTCTCCTTACAAACACTATGACAGGACCACGCCCTGAGAGAGCCATTGCCCTTTCTGCTTCTGCCACACCTACATCACAAAAACGAGGTGTTAGAATCTGTATGTTCCTCTGTCTACAGGCTATCGTCAGCAAGGATGGGTCTTGTTGTTCGAGTACAGGACTAGAAGTTAGAAGAGCTGGGGTCTGTTTCCGTCTCTGCCACTGACTCTTTATGTGATCTTGGGCAAATCACATAGGGCGCAGTTTTCAAAAGCAGGGTGTAATTTGTTCCAAACAAGACAACTGCAGCCCTCACTGACTTCAGCTGAAGTTGTGGGTGCTCAGTATCTCTGTAAGTCTGGCCCCAGATGGCTAAAGTTGGGCACCCAAAATTAAAGGACACTTTTGTAAATTTGAGACCTAACTCATCCGTACTACCTCAGGTCCCAAACAGCGAAAACAATGCTAGCCTATCTCATGGGGTGCTGCAATGTCAATGGCATGGTTTGAGATCCTCAGATGCTAGATTTCAGAGTAGCAGCTGTGTTAGTTTATATTGTCAAAAAGAAAAGGAGTACTTATGGCACCTTAGAGACTAACAAATTTATTTGAGCATAAGCTTATGCTCAAATAAATTTGTTAGTCTCTAAGGTGCCACAAGTGCTCCTTTTCAGATGCTAGAGTAAAACAAGGTATTTCCACCCTGGAGGATTCTGTTTAGTGACTGGCCCAGTATCCTGAAAAGGATGAACTTTGGTAGCTATGAAAAGAAATTAGGTCACAAAGGGACAAATTATTTTATTAAACATCTCTACTGGCCTCAGAGCTCTGCAGTATTCAGCAAAAACCTGTTCCTCTTAGCATTACCTTTAGGCAGAAGCTCTTTGAGGTTGGGACTACATGTTTTGTTCTGTGTTTGTACAGCACCTAGCACATTCTGGGTATTACAACATAAACAGAAGCAGCAATAGATACTGTAACATGGCTTAAGGTTCAAAATACTGCACCTCACTAGGGCTTTATCACTCCAGCTCACATTGCTACCATCTTTCTGTTGATAAATTTTCTTCCTCAGAAAGGTCCTAGGGAGAAAAATTCAGCATGACTCAACTGAGAGTTATAATCAAGAAACTGACAATTATTTTTAATATAGAAACTTAGAGATTGTATTTTTGAGTCGTTTTGTTTGTTTAAGAAATTGACAGAATCAGGATGCACTAAGAGAAATGTTCTTTTTAAAGTTTTTATTTTTTACCTCTCAAATAAAACAAACCTAATTTTCTCTCTCTCATAAGGAACCCTCTCTCTTTATCTATGTTCATTTTGGAATGGCAGCCTTATTAAGTTAGTGAAAAAGACAGCATAGGATGTTTTATAAAAATCCCGTAGCCACTCACCCACCTTTTTACTTTGTTAATTTCCAAAGTTGCTTCTTTTTCCTGGTTGCGCAATGTCACTTGAGGCAGTACTGCTATAAGCTCATGACATGGAGAGGCCATTCTAGGTCTCTTTACAACCCCGATCCCCCAATCTGACCTGAACCATCATTAATGTTTTACCTTATCAGGGGCTCTCAAACCATTAACAGCTCAGCAGAGACCGTGTGCGCCTGACAGGTTTTAAGAATGAAAACTGGGTGTTCGAGTGATTAAAATAAAATCTGATCATCTAACGAGGTCTTGTTTAAAGGTGGCACAGTGGTTTGTGCAAGCAGCGATTCAATGGCAGAGCTGGCAGATCAAACCTTTACAAAGGTTCAACAAAAGCCGTTTTCATCTCCAGCTCCCCCGCACTCAAAGGCAGGGCAGAGCTGCCCTGTATTATTTGTCAACTTTGTATACACATAGTCACCACTGTTACCATTTGATTCAAGCAGAGGGAATGTGGTGTGAAGACCTTGTTTCTCAGGAAACTGTTCAGGTTTGTAAGGAGATAAGCATGCTCAGTAAAAGCATTTTGGAACCGAAGGTAACAGAATAACTGGCACTAAACAGAACTGGTTCTTTAAAACATGAGTGCTCCTTTTAGGGTGCAGAGCCTATGGAGCTAGGGAAGCTAGTTTTTACCGTGCTTTACAGATTATCTGCTAAATGATCAGCTATATGTTGATGGCAAGATTTTTATACCAAGAGATGATATAAGAGGCAGATTTGGTTTTCAGATCCTCAGGGTTTGGAGTAATGGCTGTTAGAAAAAATCACCATTTGACTTGCAAAAGGAACACATTTGATCCAGGAGTCACTGAGAGAGAGAATCAATACAGAACAGCATAAAATTTATTTACACAAAGTCATTCTAGTCTTTATTGCTAAAAGCTTTACAGCTTCTAACAGAAACATTTCTCAAATAGAGCACGCTTAACTTTAATCCATACACTGTTTTTCTTCCTCCTTTGGCTACTGATAAAAAACACTGTGTTTAAATATGGGCCATACAATCCAAAGTGAGTGTCATAAATATAAAGGGAAGGGTAAACCCCTTTGAAATCCCTCCTGGCCAGGGGAAAGCTCCTCTCACCTGTAAAGGGTTAAGAAGCTAAAGGTAACCTCGCTGGCACCTGACCAAAATGACCAATGAGGAGACAAGATACTTTCAAAAGCTGGGAGGAGGGAGACAAACAAAGGGTTTGTGTCTGTCTGTATGCTGCTCTTGCCAGAGACAGAACAGGAATGGAGTCTTAGAACTTTTAGTAAGTAATCTAGCTAGGTATGTGTTAGATTATGATTCCTTTAAATGGCTGAGAAAAGCATTGTGCTGAATAGAATAACTATTTCTGTCTGTGCATCTTTTTTGTAACTTAAGGTTTTGCCTAGAGGGGTTCTCTATGTTTTTGAATCTAATTACCCTGTAAGATATCTACCATCCTGATTTTACAGGGGGGATTTCTTTATTTCTATTTACTTCTATTTTTTATTAAAAGTCTTCTTGTAAAAACTGAATGCTTTTTCATTGTTCTCAGATCCAAGGGTTTGGGTCTGTGGTCACCTATGCAAATTGGTGAGGCTTTTTATCCAACATTTCCCAGGAAAGGGGGGGTGCAAGTGTTGGGAGGATTGTTCTTAAGATCCAAGGGTCGGGGTCTGTAGTCACCTAGGCAAATTGGTGAGGCTTTTTACCAAACCTTGTCCAGGAAGTGGGGTGCAAGGTTTTGGGAAGTATTTTGGGGGGAAAGACGCGTCCAAACAGCTCTTCCCCAGTAACCAGTATTAGTTTGGTGGTGGTAGCGGCCATTCCAAGGATAACGGGTGTAATATTTTGTACCTTGGGGAAGTTTTGACCTAAGCTGGTAAAGATAAGCTTAGGAGGTTTTTCATGCAGGTCCCCACATCTGTACCCTAGAGTTCAGAGTGGGGGAGGAACCTTGACAGAGCACGCTTAACTTTAATCCATACACTGTTTTTCTTCCTCCTTTGGCTACTGATAAAAAACACTGTGTTTAAATATGGGCCATACAATCCAAAGTGAGATTATATGGCTCCACAAGGATAAATTCCAACCTGGGAAATGGTGCCCTTCAAACATAAAAGATCAGTTGCTGGGTTCTGGCTGGGAGGGTGACTCCCACATGATGCTGGCTCCCTTGTACGTGAGGGGATGAAAAGGACAGTAGCATAAATCTTACACTGAAAGTCATGGGTCTTCAGGTGCAGAATGGCCCCCTAGATGTTTTGTTTAGTAGGGTTTTCTCATAGCATTATTTCATCCAATTCTTTATGGCCACATTCAATATCGAAAAAGAGAATTACAGTAAGACTGAAAATTCTGCAGGACAATACCCTAGCCACTGGGTTATGAGGTATTCAGGGGTGGAGCACTCCCAAGCTCTTCTGCTGAAGCTGTTCCACTGCACATACATGATTTGTCATTGGCACAGGGAATAGAAGCTGACTCTGGAAAATACTAGTGGCTGCGCCACCAAAAAGCTCAGGGAGGTGCTTGGGGGAGGGCGGAGAGGGGCGGCGGGGGAGGGGCGGGGCCTCGGAAGAAGGGGCGGAGTGGGGGTGGGGCCTCGGGGCAGAGCACCCCAGGGAAAACTAGAAGTCGGCACCTGTGGCACAGGGTTTCAAACTTGGGTCTCCTACTTCCTAAGTGAGTTCCCTAGCCACCAGGCCAGAGAGTCAATTTCATTCTCTGGCCTATGACCATGGCAGTCTCTGAGCTACTCCTCCATATGAAAAATGAGGCTCGTTGTGACTGGTTCCTTTACAGCAAATCAGGTGTGCCCCTATGATGCCTTTGACCAAAGTTAAACACCATGCTATGGTTAAAAGTACAATCCCTCTGTTTGAAAGACAGTATTTGACCTTTCAATACCCACAAGAAATTCTCTGCTCCCTGAGGTTGGCTACTAAGGGCAACATTGTTCCCCAGTTTTATAAGCAGGATGCTCTAAGGGAAGCCTGGTGTTCTTCGTCATTCTTTCCCCTGAGGCTGTATCTTGGAGCTGCAAAATGATGTCTAGAAGACCATGCTGTGATGCTGCTGCCCGAATTTGCTATTCCTTCCCCTCTCTACAAACACATCCTTTTTGTCACAAGGAGCACACTAGCCTCAATTAACTCACTATCTCTGTGTCATTTAAATGACCCGATGAGGAAAAGTAGACATCCTCAAGAATAGGATTCCTGTGCATTTCAATACAATGCTGGCTCATAAGAACGAAGCCGAAAAGCAGGGATCGCAACCAGCACATGGGTGCTCATGAACCAAGACAAAACTAGTATGTTCACAGGAAGAGGGGAGAACATGCCCCATAAGGACCAGGCTGTGTCTAGCCCAACAGGGCAGTGTAAGAGCCAGGCTCAATCACAGCCCTTCTGTTTGGGGACGGGCATGCACTGTTTCCTGCATTACTGGGAGCGCAAATATTGGAAGCATGTGATGTCCTGGAGTTTCCCCCAGATGCTGTAGCTCTCCTTGATCCAAACATGGGCCAGTCCCTAAATAGCACAATTTGGCCCTAATTCAGCAAGGTATTAAAGCACTGGCCTAACTTTAAGCATATGAGTAGTCCAATTGGCTTCAATGTTTGTAAGAGTACAGTGAAGTGAAGGGGAGACACCCCAAGCTGGAGGCACTTACTGAGTTAGGAATTCATTACATGGTGACGAGGGAAGAGAATGGTTTTGAAAGAAAAAAAAAAAAAAGAATATGCTCTTTGGGGCAAGACTGTCTTTCTGTTCTGTGTTTGTAAAGTGCCTAGTGCACTGGGGCCCTGGTCCATGACTGAGCCTCTTGGGCACTATGATAATACAAATACTAAATAGTAACAATGAATAATCTGTCCTCCTCCCCACCTGTTTCACTGAAGTGTCTTTCCTGAGCTGCAGTCATTGCCAGAAACATACACAGAATAGGATGTCAGTGTGAAATGCTTTGAAAGACTGTCACAATAGGAACAATTTTCTCTAGGGAATGAAATCAGACTGCAAAGTTATTTTCTGTCTGCTGAAACATGAAAAGAATATGAATGAGATTACATCTGGCCCTGGGTATATAAGAGAGCAGAACCAGCCTTAACCAGATTCAGTTTTCCTTCAATGTCCTTCGAAGAAATTAAAAATCCCAAAGAAATCCTGAATCTGGCTAGATGTCTTATAAAAGAAACCACATTCTTGCCTAGCAGAAACAGCGTGCCTTTGATTATTTGGAAACACATGACTTAATCATCCCATTATGCATACCTTTTCTCAGCTGGTGCCAGAGCCTGAAAAAGACAGAGACAAGCATTAGATAAAACAACATGATTTCTAGCTAAAGAGATTGGAGTCAAAGGGTCCAACCCTGCACAGGGCTGAGCATCCTCAATGCCCATTGACTTCTCTGGGAGGTGTGGGTGCTTAGTACTTAGCAAGATTGGGCCTAAAGGGAGCCCTCTCCCCTGAACTGATACCAAGCTAGATAACTAAAAATCTTTATCTTCTTAAGTAACTTCCCTCCCCCAAACAAAGATCCACAACATGCAAAAAGACCCATGGGCAAAATGACTGGTGCTAACAAGTTTCAGAGTAGCAGCTGTGTTAGTCTGTATTCGCAAAAAGAAAAGGAGTACTTGTGGCACCTTAGAGACTAACCAATTTATTTGGGCATAAGCTTTCATGAGCTACAGCTCACTTCATCGGATGCATTCAGTGGAAAATACAGTGGGGAGATTTATATACATAGAGAACATGAAACAATGGGTGTTACCATACACACTGTAAGAAGAGTGATCACTTAAGATGAGCTATTACCAGCAGGAGAGCGGAGCGGGGCGGGGTGGAGGGGGGAAACCTTTTGTAGTGATAATCAAGGTGGGCCAGTTCCACCAGTTGACAAGAACCTCTGAGGAACAGTGGGGACCTAAAAGTGGCAATTTTTCAACAAAAAAACTTCAAAAACAGACTCCAAGGAGAGACTGCTGAATTGGAATTAATTTGCAAACTGGATACAATTAACTTAGGCTTGAATAGAGACTGGGAGTGGATGGGTCATTACACAAAGTAAAACTATTTTCCCATGTTTATCCCCCTCCTCCCCTCCGCTGTTCCTCAGCCCTTCTTGTCAACTGCTGGAAATGGCCCACCTTAATTATCACTACAAAAGGTTTTCTCCCTCCCCCCCCCCCCTCTCCTGCTGGTAATAGCTCATCTTAAGTGATCACTCTCCTTACAGTGTGTATGGTAACACCCATTGTTTCATGTTCTCTAGGTATATAAATCTCCCCACTGTATTTTCCACTGAATGCATCCCATGAAGTGAGCTGTAGCTCACGAAAGCTTATGCTCAAATAAATGTGTTAGTCTCTAAGGTGCCACAAGTACTCCTTTTCTCTTTGGTGCTAACAAGTCACTGTTCACTCATTTTGCCTTGGCTGCAGCCCATCCCCCTGTTATTTGTCTGTATAGTGCCCACCTAGATTATGAGATCTTCAGGGAAGGGACCTGGTCTTCAAACCCTTTTGTAAAGCAGCGAGTGCACTGTTTGCACCATACAAATCATAAATAAATTAAAGAATAACTCCCCTTTCTCTACGCACAGCCTGCTAGTCAGTGACAACGCACAACATGGTGCTTTGATTAACCGCAGGCAATTCATCAGGTGCGGTTAACACACGGAGCTACAATTTTTCCTGCTTGGAATACCTGGTATGCTCCCATCTGCAATGCCAGATCCTTTCCCTTGCTAGCCTTAGTGGTAGAGCACAGCTGAGATGCAACCAGGACCCAAGAGAAAAAGGCCCAAGAGAAAAAGTTTGCTGTATCCTTTAACCGCATTGTTGCTAAGAACATTGAGCTTCCTGGTCTCTGTGGCAACATGCTCTTTAGCACACATGACACATTCATGTTTATAGTGCTGTGTTATTGCATGAATGGGGAACTAGCAACTGGAACACATGGCTACAAATCCCAGCTTCCTAATTCTTCTGCTCTATGCCATTATGTTTTGGCAGCCATTTTAACCAAATGACCTCAATTGCTAATGAAAAGAAATAATCACTTCTTTAAATCCAGTCGGGAATATCCACATGAGCATGAGCTCATGAAAGATGCCAGTTTGACAACACTGGAAACCTTATCATCTCTGCAAAGGGTAAGTACAACATAAGAAGCAGCAGAACAAACTTCCCATACAATACCCCTTGCTAATGTGCCTCAACCAGTAATCTGGTAATCTAAAAGGGAAAGGCTCTGTATCTCATTCCCAAGCTCCTACATTCAGTGCTTAGATGGTGTTTAAAGGCAACAGAATATCAAGGAGGGCTTAGTTCCCTGACATGTCATCCAGATGCAAAACGTGCAGAGTATGCCTAGTACTCAGGTGTTTATTGCAGATATCATTAACAGTCTTTGCACATATTGGGCACAGGAAGAAACCAGTCCATTTACTGACAGAAGCAGCAATTACTCACAGGCTGCAGAGAACAGAAATAATCCCTACCTTTATGAACATTTAAAAAAAAAATAGCAAAGCTTCACAGCAGCATGGTTCTGAAAATGAACTGAATGACTTAACTAGCCCTGAGATCAGAGTTCTGTGTCTTTCACACAGGAATCATGAAGGGATCAATAGCACTCAATGCAGAGCAACGAGCTGCCTTTCTGACACTCATTTAGGTTTTGGTAACGTTATCAGTTCTACCTGCGCACATGCAGAATCCCGAACTCAGAGCTGGCAGTTTTCAACAAGAGCATTTTGTTTTTTAAATGCATGTATTTATCATTTTGAAGCCCATACATGCCTCCGGCCCAGGATTTTGGATTTCAAATCATTTTGATATTTAAAATGAAAAGCATTTCAGTTCAACTTTCAATTACAACGTGGAAGGGCTGCAGAAAAGCCTCTTTGCAAGCATTGCTGCAACAGTTGAAACCAGAAGAAGTCCTCTTGCTAACAGGTTACAGCTGCTGGATTTGAACACATAGGAGTCTGGGGAAAAGAGCTTTAGTTTGGAACTCTTTCCCCTTTTGGTCTGAAAGAACCCAAATCTGTTGATCCTCTCCACACAATGTAAATCCCCTTTATTTGAGCAGACTCTCTATGTTAGTTACATGGTACCCATTACTGCAGTATCTAAACACCTCATTGCTTTAATGTATTTCTTCTCACAACAACCCTGTGAGGTAGGGCAGGCCTATATTATCCCCATTTTATAGGTGGGGAACTGAAGCACAGACATACTAAGTAACTTGCTGAGGATTACACAGGTAGTTTATAGCACGGCAGATAACTGAACCATGTTCCCTTCAGTGGTAGGTTAGAACCCTACCCACTGCTCCATCACTCCCACATAAGTACATTTGTTATTTTTAACAGCTAATGTTGAGGTTGAGTCATTTCGTTTTGATTGATATTGGCTCCCCTGTTCTTGCATGTTTCCAGTAAACATGCCCAGATAGATTATTACAGATAAACAGCAAGAGTGCTATTAATCAAATGAATTACTGACTCCAGGACCAGTAAACATCCACTACAATCAGAATGATCCTGCAAATAGGTGCCAAGCCAATTCATACCACCTCAACAGCAATCCCTGTAACCAGTGAAGCTGGAGCTCTGCTGGACCCCAAAGGGAATTTGTCCAATCTGTGTCAGCAGGGACAAGGGTGGCATTGCATGGATCATTGTCTAAGGGAAATGGGTTTTAAATTGGAGAAACACAATCTTCAGGGAGTCAGACAGGAAGCACTCTGGGGTTCTTAAAAAATCTGAACATGCGTAACAACAATACCACGAGCCATATTTTCAAAGCAGAAATTCTGGTCATGAAAGTCTTTGGAACATATTCCCAATGATAAATGCGTCTTTCCCCCCCTTGTTTATCACATACCTCAGGTGGAGGAGTAGGAATCATTTTTTCTGCTGGCACAGAGAGGGAAAAAAAATAGAAAAATAAGCAAGAGCCAACACGACAAAAGATTTTATAATCTCTAGCTATTAATGTTACTTGTACGTTTCTTCTGCCTTTGCATTTGTGCCCTGTCTCGTGTTCCCCAGCATATCACTCACAATAGTGCAGACACTGGCCTGACCTTTTAGAAACATAAAGCACTGAGTGTGTTACTCTCCATATAAAACAAATGGCATTTTTGCTCATGTTAACACAAAAATAGGGATGGGCCCAAAAAAACCTGAATTTAGGATTGAAATCCAAACATAGAGGTGAATTTTGCAGCTGGTCCATATTTTTATAATGGATTGAAATAAACATCTGGAATGAAACACCCGTGAAGTTTGGGGTGCTTGAAAATCCTGATCCAAATTTTTCATCTTGCGACCACCTCTACTCTGACCCCCTCTAATACAAAATGTCAGTGATTCTACATGTACAAGTGCATTTGAATCTCTCCAAACATGAGATGCGAGCCAGCCAACTGGCCTATCCAGGAAAATAAGTAGTTTGCTGCTGCAACACTACACACAAAAATGGGGTGGGGGATGAAGAGTGGTGGACCTCATGCCCTTCGGAGGCTATTACTGAAAGCTCTACCTTCAGGAGATAAAAGGGGATTAACCCAGGGAAGACACAGGTAGACAACATGTAAGCACTTGAACAACTCAATACAACATTAGTCCAGGCAGGAGTCTATTAACAGTGTCTGATGGAAGCAACTGTATTATTTATTAAACTGACAAGTTCAATCGGCTGCTTTTATACCAGTATAAAGAGAGCTATTGTACTTTCATGTCCTTTTAAACACAGAGAATAAAGTGTTCCCTGGAGTGCTTTCATGAGCTGCCTTCGATTAAGAGTTCTTAGAACATTTGATATTGTCAGAGATCAGCTTGCCAGAACCCCAAGTGGATTTGCAGCTTTCACAAAAGAAATGAGGATGACAGCAATTATAATTAAAAGTAGGCTGGAGAATGAAGGACCTTACCTGATGTGTACTTTACTTACTGTACCTAAAGGCTAGGTTGTCAAACATGGGGGAACTAACCTGCTTTTACATCGTTGGCAGAAATGTCAGAATTGGCATCATATTATCAGGGACTGATGCCAAGATGTTATTTCTCTTCTCAAAGTGCTAATTTTGGTGAGATGTTTGTGCTGCTTTCTAGAATGTCAGCAATACAAAGGAACGGAGTAGTGCCTAACTCTGAGAAGTAGACAGTCCATGACATATGTCAGAGCTTACATGGAGGTGTAAATTATCAGAATAAGACTAAAGGAGTACTTGTGGCACCTTAGAGACTAACCAATTTATTTGAGCATAAGCTTTCGTGAGCTACAGCTCACTTCATCGGATGCATCCGATGAAGTGAGCTGTAGCTCACGAAAGCTTATGCTCAAATAAATTGGTTAGTCTCTAAGGTGCCACAAAAAAGTACTCCTTTTCTTTTTGCGAATACAGACTAACACGGCTGTTACTCTGAAACCTGTCAGAATAAGACTAAGTATTTCACATCCCATGTTTTAAAATACAAAAGGAAATGCCTTTGCACAATATCTACGATCTACAAAGCACTATGCAATTTGGATCCTGGCTACCTTAGCCACTGTCACCTTAGCCACTGTCTTTCTCATCATGTTTTATCCCAATGGTTAAGATCAGCAGGGGTGCATCAGCTAGCAAACCCTAGATTAAAAGGTCTGGGAGCTGGTGCAATGGGGTTCTCAGTAACAGGCTTTTGACTCTGGAGTTTGTTTTCCTCATTGGCCTGACAGAGCCTGAGTTGGACTAAGACTTGCTTCCTTATGTCATTTTAGATCCTGATGTATGTGATTTGATACTTTTGTGCACACACCAAGAGGTGCATTTTATAAACTGTAATATAATAACTAGTTATTTAGGGTGGATAAAGGATGTTAGTTCCAATAGCATTTGCGCTGAATTTTGACAGTGATACCATTAATGCAAAAAAAAAAAAAAAGGGAACATTATTCTGGGATGTATTAGCAGGAGTGTTGTAAGCAAAATACGAGAAGTAATTCTTCAGCTCTACCCCACGCTGATTAGTCCTCAACTGGAGTATTGTGTCCAGTTCTGGGTGCCACATTTCAGGAAAGATGTGGACAAATTGGAGAAAGTCCAGAGAAAAGCAACAAAAATGATTAAAGGTCTAGAAAACATGACCTATGAAGGAAGATTGAAAAAATTTTGATTTGTTTAGTCTGGAAAAGAGAAGACTGAGAAGGGACATGATAACAGTTTTCAAGTACATAAAAGGTTGTTACAAGGAGGAGGGAGAAAAATTGTTCTTCTTAACCTCTAAGGACAGGACAAGAAGCAATGGGCTTAAATTGCAGCAAGGGCAGTTTAGGTTGGACATTAGGAAAAACTTCCTAACTGTCATTGTGGTTAAGCACTGGAATAAACTGCCTGGAGAGGTTGTGGAATCTCCATCATTGGAGATTTTTAAGAGCAGGTTAGACAAAAACCTGTCAGGGATGGTCTAGATAATACTTAGTCCTGCCATGAGTGCAGGGGACTGGACTAGATGACCTCTCGAGATCCCTTCCAGTCCTGTGATTCTATGAAAAGAAATTTCTATGCTGTCATGGAACTTTCTGAAAATCTGAATGCCACCGTTATCCCATACTTCTAGATAACAGATCAATAGAAATGTATACCATCTACTTTGAAGCCAGAAAACTAACTTTAGGAAGCACCAAATCCATTGGGGACATAGAGACACAAGTCCCCTTCATAAATATCTTATTTTTTCTAGAATATCATAACTCTCAGTATATAAGCCTAGCAGAATCAGAGCTTTCATTGCAGCTCCATTAAGCTCACTCCAGCTGGACCAGCAGTTGCTGAGCACCATCATGCTTTCTGCATCCGCTCTGGAAGATTAGTCTGCTACTTTTGCAGCACACCCTGCAGACTCTGGCCAGACTCTGATCTCAGGAATAGCTGAGTAAAGCCAGAGTAACTCTATTAAGCTCAAATCCATGGAGTTACTCTGAATTTACACTGTTAATAAGCTCTGAATTTTGCCCCACATCAAACCCAGTTCTCTCGTTTGCTGCTGCCAGGCGCTTACTGGTAACATAGAAAAATAAGTATTTTATGATGGGGCCTTTTCAGCCACGAGGTTTGAATTTCATGACCTGACTACTTTCCCCCACCCCAATTTCAGTAATAAAGGCAAACAGAGCTGAATGGGATGCTTTGCCTTTGTTCAATTATATTCCCCTTTAACCTTTTATTTCTCCTCTAATTCAAACCCTTGTGGAATACAATGACCTAGTTCTTTGAAAAAGAATGTACAATCAATTCATTCATGGGCATTAGCCAATAGGGGTGCTCACAAGAGCACAAAGAGTGAAGGATCCCCTGCTCCAAGCTTCATTTCTGAATGTGCAATAGGCTGTTGCCAAATAACTGAATTTTTCTGTAATATAAATATTTGTAAATGTAATCTCCAGTCTGCCCCTGCTTTAACCTCACTGACTCTAATGGGCCTCATGGTCAGTGTTCAAGATCAGTAATATAGAAAGAAAAGGAGTACTTGTGGCACCTTAGAGACTAACCAATTTATTTGAGCATAAGTGAGCTGTAGCTCACGAAAGCTTATGCTCAAATAAATTGGTTAGTCTCTAAGGTGCCACAAGTACTCCTTTTCTTTTTGCGAATACAGACTAACACGGCTGTTACTCTGAAACCAGTAATATAGAAAGATTTGGCTTTAGAACAAAGTTTAAAAACAAGCAGGGCCTTTGCTCCACCTTCAGGTCAGTGAAGGACATTGCATGGCAACAATGTTTCGACAAATATTTGGCTGAAGAATTAATACAGCTCTTGGGAGGGCAAAGGCATTTGTTAGAAACTTCTAAAACACTAATATTCTTAGTCAATGAAACAGACCATTCCTGGTTCAAAAACAGAGTGACAAATTTACTAAACACTGGTCGTTAAATTCGGCCCCATTTATGCACCTGACAATCACATTGGAGACAACAGGTTGTAAACCAAGAGAAATTTAGAAAGAATACATCATATTTCAACAAATCTGAGGCCCTTTAGAATTTCACAGTTGCCACATGTCCACTTCATGGCTGTCACTAGACTCCACTGTGGTCATTCAGAACATCCCAGCAACAGTGGAGATAACAGAATACAGATTTTCCTGCTCCAAAAGCACAGGCCCCTACCACCTGAACTCATAGAGACCCTTCTTTAGCTGTTAGCACTATAGGGTCTGACTGTAACACTGAACAGTCCTGCTTCCATTGTGGCAATGACTTGGGATAGAGAGCTGTTAAAATCATCTAGATTTGTCAGTAAACTGCTGATATTGGCACCTGCTCCTATCTCTTGCTGTCACTGGGAGAGCAGGGGAGCTATGTGGAGAAGGTGCTCTGGTTGCATCACTCTGGTTAGAGTTCTTGAAGGATTGCCCTAGGACTTGAAAGTCTTGTCTATATGGGGAGTTATTCTGTAATAAGAATTCCAGGTTAACTCCCTGTGTGGACACTCTTATTCTGGAATAAGAGTGTTTTATTCTGAATGAGATTAGATTCCAAAATGGATTAAGAGTTCCTTATTCATAAATGGATTAAACCAGTTCAGAATAAGGCACTCTTATTCTGCAATAAGAGCATCCACACATGTAGTAAATCAAGAATAGTTAATCCACACCCTATTTTATTCCAGATTAATTTTCATGTGTAGATAAACACTTAATCAGGGACACTCCAAGGAGTCCTCCTAAGAGTCTAACTATAGAGATCCTGCCTACAGCATATTTTCCAGCTCATCCAAAACTATAGATATGTGGCTAGGCAATATGATATATAGAGTGGAGCTAAGTAGGCATTCACTCTAGCCATATTTCTATGACTGTGGGCAGTTGAGGACCATGCTTTAGGAATGTCTGCTATTGTCAGGCAGTACACTGTGGGGGAGATGAGGAAAATCAAGGAGGGGGAAAGGTTAGTGAGGAAACCCTGGGGAGCCAAAGAAAAGCAGGGGGAGGGTAGATACTTGGTAGGGGGGCAAAAGAGAAAGTGTGCAAATAAGTCACTGTATGTTCAAACATCCAAATTACATCACTGTATGATGTATAAGGCTCCAGATTTCTGGGCCTGCAGTCTTATCAGGTATGATGATATTCAACAATTTATACTGTTTATTTAATTATAAAAGAATTTTAGTTCCTATAGGGTTTATCATGAGCTATTTGATTCATTACTGCAAAATGTTTATTGGGATCACATTGTGAAAAAGAGAATGTTAATGTCTACCATTTCAAGTGCAAACTTATAATAGAGTTGGAATATCTGACCTCACCTATAGGAACAGCTGAATGGGCCCGGGAGACAGTCTTGGGGTCTCTAGCCATCATGGCGTTCTGATTTAAAAAAAATAAATCAACATTTTTCTTTTTTTAATAAACAAGCGGGGAGATACACTACAGTAGGTTGGCCAAACTTTACCCAGCACAGACCACAAGAGCCTCAGCACAGTAACCTATGTGTATTAAATGGGGCAGATTGTAGCTGTCTGACAATTAGTACAGAGGTCTGTGGAGACTACAGGTTCAAGCATGTAATACTCCACTTGAATACTGGGACCTTGCACTGTTAATCTGCCAAGTTTCTTAATATTAGCTACAGAATTTCTCTCTCTTCCCCCAATTTTATTGGCTTGGGCAATTCTGGAAAAATCTGCGAGATAGCCTGATTCACATGAAAACATTAATCATTTGTTTAATAAATCTGACTTAAGATTTGTATTTAGCAAAACTTGATTCTCTTCTGAGTTATCATCTTATAGAATCACCAATTTAAAGGAGGCTTCTGTGTATTATTAATATTCATGAGTTTTCTGAATGAACAAAAAACTTCCACTGTGAAACTGGAATCTAAACTGATCACCGAGCTCTGCCATCCTGCCATCCAACAGCAGTTGAGGTAAACTGGTAACATTTTTGGGAGAGCACCTATGTTTGCAACAACAGGTACCTGCATCTCTGAGGAAAATCTTTTATGTTTTGGAGTACGTGTCTTTCTCAGACCAGCACCTTCTGAACTGGATAATTTCCTGGGCATAAGCTTCTAAATCATAATTAAAATAAGGCAAGTTTAAGAACATATTATATAAGAGCAAACTCCACAAGTAGGGAAACACCCTGTTTAGTAGCAAGGAATATATTTTTAAAATCATATTAAATTGCTATGGGTTTTTATTAGAGATGGGCCCAATCAGAACCTGAGATCTGAACCCCTCAGTTTTGGGGATGCTCAAAATCCAAATCTGAATGTGGAATTTTGTGAGTTGAGCCCATCTGTAGGCTATTACTCACAACCAACTATGTTAAAAGATCATTAAGGTTGCAAAGGCAAGCACTCAAAGTTAGAATATACCAAAATTAAGGTTGTCTGTGTGACCCAATCTGGCTTCCTTGTACATTTGCATTATAATACAGTCTTTAATTGCATGATCACATACTATGCCATTTTTTTCCACAAGGCCCCTGCCTCATTCAGTGCACAGAATTCATGGTGCTCATGAAGATGAGCAGTTATTTAATATTTTATGTTCTCCGAGTCCTTACTGCTTAAAGTGTGGCACGAGGACTTATTTACTGCACACTGTTCACATCCTATTCCTCCTGGACTTTTCTATGGCACTTATCATTAATTTATCTTAGCTACCAATTTTAGGATTGTTGTAAGAACTTAATAAAAACCCTTCAGAAATAGTAATCACTGTTTATGACATGCGTCATTGTGAATGCCCCACTAATACCAACTGTAGCATTTATGGTGATGGAGAATACCTTTTCTTTGCCGGATGGAAATCTGTCGCTCTTTGAAGATTTTTTCTTCCTTTTTTCAGAACCTTCAGAACAGGGACAACAAGAACCTGTAATGTGACTTGTTTCTGTGAGGACTGTCTGTGTGGGCATGAGTGCGTGGATCAGGAAAGAGAAAGCAGAGCTGAACTGTGCACTGAGTACTTGTGGCACCTTAGAGACTAACCAATTTATTTGAGCATGAGCTTTCGTGAGCTACAGCTCACTTCATCGGATGCATACTGTGGAAACTGCAGAAGACATTATATACACACAGAGACCATGAAACAATACCTCCTCCCACCCCACTGTCCTGCTGGTAATAGCTTATCTAAAGTGATCATCAAGTTGGGCCATTTCCTGGATTTGTGCTGGAAATGGCCCAACTTGATGATCACTTTAGATAAGCTATTACCAGCAGGACAGTGGGGTGGGAGGAGGTATTGTTTCATGGTCTCTGTGTGTATATAATGTCTTCTGCAGTTTCCACAGTATGCATCCGATGAAGTGAGCTGTAGCTCACGAAAGCTCATGCTCAAATAAATTGGTTAGTCTCTAAGGTGCCACAAGTATTCCTTTTCTTTTTGCGAATACAGACTAACATGGCTGTTACTCTGAAACCTATGCACTGAGTGTTGAAGAAGCGCTCTATGTAAGCTCGAACCAACAGAAGTTGGTCTAGTAAAAAAGATATTACCTCACCCACCTATCTCTCTCATATCCTGGCACCAACAACGCTTCAACAACACTGCTGAGTGAATAACAGATCCAGAAGGCATTTTTCAAATATGGGGCAAATCCTGCTCCTTACTCATATATGTACTCCCACTGAAGTCAGGTCTTGCATGAGTAAAGCAAGGAGAATTTGAACAATGCTCATGCTCCATCTCTAATCAAGTAATTACATATTAGTATAATAATAATTTTCCCTTTTGTAGCATCTTCCATCAGATCTCAAAACACTACCAACATGAATGAATTAATCCTCATAACACTTCATATAAGCATTATGTATCCATTTTACAGACAGAAAAGTTGAGGCACAGACAGTTTAAATGACTTGGCCATGGCTATCAGGAAGTCAGTAGCAGACCCAAGAATAGAGCTCAAGACCCTGGTCCTGCACTATGAAAGTCAATGTAAGTTTTGCCTCTGATAAGAGTAGGCTCATGCCTGGGGAGAATATCTGTAGAACTATGATATACAATAAAAGCCAACAATAAAAGAAGACTTTTAATACCTGTTTTTCTCTTCATCTGTAAAGTCTGAGTTTTGTCCAAACAGAAATCTCCCTCTGTTAGAAGATTTTTTCTCTCCTTGTCTGTTTCTTCACTGACTTGCTGCTGTTCAGTGCTTGGGATTTGCTGTAGCAATTCTGTATCAGTGGATTCACTCTCAGCTTCAGCAACCTGAACAAAAATAAAGCAGGCAAGTGTTGGTTGTTAGGGGGAGGAAAATGCCCAGTTAAAAAAAATCCCTCTCTTATCCCTTATTTTTGAAACTATCAGCTTGCAACATGGCAAATCCAGTCAGTACTGATTAAGGGCAAAATCCTCCTTTCAGAACCACATTGTGGATCTTGCCTTCAGTATTCTGTGGTCTCTACCACTGTGGATCACACTGTCAGGAGTTCCTATGCATAAGGAAAGCCCAATAAGCAAACTGAGATCTGTTATATGGAGATGAAATAAAAATATTTGCCCTAAATCCAGGCAATTAGAACAATATTCCATTAAAAAAGCCTTTGGCTGCCTTTCCATAACTCTCTACAATGCTGCTTGTAAAACCCACAGCTGTATCACAGACTCATGCCCTTTAAGGTCAGAAGGGACCATTGTGATGATCTAGTCTGACCTCCTGCACATTGCAGGCCACAGAACCTCACCCACCCACTCCTGTAATAGACCCCGAACCTCTGGCTGAGTTACTGACATCCTCAAATCATGGTTTAAATACTACTAGTTACAGATTATTCATCATTTACATTAGTTTAAACCTGCCAGTGACCCATGCCCCATGCTGAAGAGGAAGGCAACCAAACCGCGCCCCCAGGGTCCCTGCCAGTCTGATCCGGGGGAAAATTCCTTCTTGACCCCAAATATGGCAATCAGTTAGACCCTGAGCATATGAGCAAGAACCACTAACCAGACATCTGGGAAAGAATTCTCTGGAGTAACTCAGAGCCCTCCCCATATAGCGTCCTGTCTCCAGCCATTGGGGATTTTTGCTACTGGCAGTCACCAATGGGCCACATGCCAACATAGGCAGTCCCATCATACAATCCCCTCCATAAACTTATCAAGATCAGTCTTAAGGCCGGTTAGGTTTTTTGCCCCTACTGCTCCCCTTGGAAGGCTGTTCCAGAACTTCACTCCTCTGATGGTTAGAAACCTTTGCCTAAGTTTGAGCCTAAACTTGTTGATAGCCACGTTACAGCCATTTGTTCTTGTGTCCACACTGGTGCTTAACTTAAGTAACTCCCCTCCCTCCCTGGTGTTTATGCCTCTGATGTATTTATAAAGAGCAATCAGATCTCCCCATGGCCTTCTTTTGTTTAGGCTAAACAAACCAAGCTCTCTGAATCTCCTCTCAAAAGATAGGTTTTCCATTCCTCGATCATCCTAATAGCCCTTTTCTGCACCTGTTGCAGAATGAATTAAACTTTCTTAAACATGGGAGACCTAAACTGCACACAGTATTCCGGATGAGATCTCACCAGTGCCTTCTATAATGGTACAAACACTTCCCTGTCTCTGCTGGAAATACCTCACCTAATGCATCCTAGCTCTACATTAGCCTTTTTCATGGCCGCATCACATTGACAGCTCATAGTCATCCTGCGATCAACCAATACACCTAGGTCTTTCTCCTCCTCTGTCACTTCCAACTGGTAAATCCGCAGTTTATAGCAAAAATTCTTGTTGTTAGTCCCTAAATGCATGACCTTGTACTTTGCACTATTAAATTTCATCCCATTTCTATTACTCCAGTTTACAAGATCATCCAGATCTTCTTATGTGATATTCCAGTCCTCCTCCGTATTGGCAATCCCTCCCGACTTTCTGTCATCTGTAAATTTTATTAGCACACTTCTACTTTTTGTGCCACGGTCAGAAATACAATAAGATTGGTCCCAAGACCGATCCCTGAGGAACTACATTCATAACCTCCCTCTAGCCTGACAGTTCACCTTTCAGTATGGCCCATTGTAGTCTCCCCTTTAACCAGTTTCTTATCCACCATTCAATTCTCATATTAATCCCCATCTTCTCCAATTTAACGAATAATTTCCCATGTGGAACTGTATCAAATGCCTTACTGAAATCCAGGTACATTAGATCTATCTACTGCATTTCCTTTGTCTAAAAATGTATTTATCTTCTCAAAGAAGGAGATCAGGTTTGTCTGGCATGATCTGCCTTTTGTAAAACCATGTTGTATTTTATACCAATTACCATTCACCTCTATGTCCTTAACTACTTTCTCTTTCAAAATGTGTTCTAATTTTTGTTCAAATTTGAACAGTATCAATTGCACTGACTTTTATTTGGTGAAAGGGCTAGTATTTGTGGTTTCATTCCAGTGCTGTGAAGAAAAAAAACCCTAAAAAACATTTATATTATTAAACTCTACCCTGTATTTGAGATGTAATCCCAGGGATTAAAATAGAAACATTCCCAAATTACTTTCTGAGATGGTAAATGTACAAGGCAGTAATAGGCATTCTTGATGAGATGCATGTCAGGCTAAATTCTCAGGCACAGAATTTACTTGTGCTCAGAGTTCTTCCAGCAGGTGTCCCCATAACAAAACAGAATTATGATGAATTATTGTGAACTCTAAGTACACTAGCTGTGTGTTAGAAGGCCCGAGTTTAATCAATGCACTTGAGAAGGGACCTCAAAATGACTTGCCAATATACAATTGAGTCATCAGCATTTCTGCTTTCCACCTTGATAAAAGAAAAGGAGGACTTGTGGCACCTTAGAGACTAACAAATTTATTTGAGCATAAGTGAGCTGTAGCTCACGAAAGCTTATGCTCAAATAAATTTGTTAGTCTCTAAGGTGCCACAAGTCCTCCTTTTCTTTTTGTGGATACAGACTAACACGGCTGCTACTCTGAAATCTGTCACCTTAATAAAGGCGGTGTTGTGTTGAAGGAAGTCAGACACGACACACTGCTGGACTCTGTACAGAAGTGTGAAATGGTTTCATACAAACCTCTTCCTCAGGCTGGGCCTCTGAACATACACTGAGTGGAGAAGAACATGGGGAGATTCCAAACTCAGGTATTTCCAAATCCACAGCCTCTGCAGGTCTGGGGCCAGGCAAGTATTTCATATAATCAGTCAGGATCATTCTTTCAGAGACTGGGAGAAAAGAGAAATGACTGCTTTAGTTATACCATTTGCTACTACACCCTATACACCTTAAGAGAATGTTATAGGGAAGCTTTCTGACAGGCTGGAAAACAGTCCTTATTAGAGTAAGAAGGGATCTCAGGATGTTTGAGAATCAATATTTCAAAAGACAGGATGCTTAATAAATGCACCTGAGAGCCTCTGATGCTCCCACACATTCCCTCCCTGGTCCACACACAAACTTCCTCCTCTTAATGGGCTTAACTCTCCACACCCAGCTCAGTGGCAGCTATTTGGGAAGGGGGAGGGGGGGCGCTGGAAGGAGAGAGGAGGCTCTGAGCCAGCTAACCTTCTCCAAACATCTACATTCCTATTTAAGGGATGACTTGCTGCCCACTCCCCTCCATTCTGGTGTTTTTACAGGAGGAGAGGGCAACCAGAAAGCCCACTCGTCCATGAACTACCATTTGTGGGTATGTGAAAGTCAATGGGACTTGGGCTCTTAAGTGCCTAAATCACGGTTGAAAATGGGACTTAGGAACTAAGGCACTTATGTGCTTTTAAAAAATGTACCGTGGATCTAACAACAGGCAGATGTTCAGGAGGTGAAGATAGTGCGGTTTTATTTCCCCCCGGACCATTTGCAGAGGTAATGAGCATCTGCAGCTCCCTTTGACTTCAACTGGAGTTTTGGGTGTACAGCAGACACCTGGTGTGCAGGGTACTGTGAAAATCTGGCCTATAGGGCCAGACCTTCAGCTGGTATAAATCAGTTTAGCTCCACTGAAGTCGACAGAGCTACGTCAATTTACACCAGCCGAGGATCTGGTTCAAGGTTTAGGACGCTACCAGATTTACTTTAGTTCTTGAATAAACAGAAGTAAAAGAAGGTAGAATTGTAGAAAGAATCCCTTACGTTCTGCCTTCTCTTGCTCATCTATGCTGAGAGGTCCAGGTTGAAACAGGAAGTCAAATACCTTCAATGAAGTCGCTGAGATACTGGGAGAACAATAAATCCGGGAAGGGGCCAGTGGCAACTTCCAGGACAGCTGGTGGATGACAGAGGAGTATACACATATAGCAACAGGTAATGTACAGGTAATAAAATGTTAAATTAACACAATACTTGCAGGTTCGCATTGCATTAATGAATTTCCCAACCAACTCAGTAGAACACCCTCCTTTATATTTTGGGTCCTACCTAGGTTGATTGTGTCCCTTTTGACAGATGCTCTGTTTTTAGGGCTAGTGTACACTAGAAGCACTACAGTGGCACTGCTGTAGCACATCTGATGTAGATGCTCTGTATAATAATGGTCTGTATTTTTAATATATGTAACACTATTATAAATGCTGGAGGCAAAGCGGGGTTTGGGGTGGAGGCTGACAGCTTGTGACCCACCATATAATAACCTCGCGACCCCCTGAGGGGTCCCGACCCTCAGTTTGAGAACCCCTGCTCTATGCTGACAGGAGAGAGCTCTCCCGTCGGCATAATAAAACCACCTCCGCAAGAACCAGTAGCTATGTTGGTGGGAGACATAGCACTGTCCACACTGGCACTTAGGTTGGTGTAACTTACCTCGCTTGTAGAGATGGCTTATTCACACCCCTGAACGACATAAGTTATACCGACATAAGTGGTACTGTGTACAAGCCCTTAGAGATACTTACATTTCCTAAAGGGATCAAAATGTCTCAACACGTCTTTACTTCCAACACCATTTTCAGATTTCAAAGAAACTTAAGTATTCAACTAAGTCTAACCTTTTCTCCGCCCATTGGTGAAACCAGCAATTCTGTTGTGAAGTCACTGGTGAAATTAAATCCCATGTAAGGCACCTAGAGAAATGGGAAAAGGTTGACGCTCAGTAATCATAAATCTGTGAGGAAAATGTTTCCCTTACGCACATACACACAGCTTGGTGAGGCATTCTTTTTGGTGCCACTCATATGCATGGGTTTCTAGTCATCAAGTCATCAGCTATGTCACATAAAAACACTGTATATGGTCCATAGATGCAAAGTCTCATTGGAAGAAGCATTTATTCTCAGTGGGTGAAATTCATCCCCCCTATTGGCACAAGACCTATATGCCACTCATAGGTTTAACCCAAAGCTCAAGTGGTGCATAGACCTAAATGCTCTCAGGAAAGTGCTGTTTGTGTCTCTATAACTCCTGAGAGAATTCTGAGCTACTGCACACGTGCATAATTAATGAGCACCACTTTTTTTTTGCACAGAAAAAAGCTTCTGCCAAAATACTGATGTAGTTCCACCATTTTCCCACCAGAGGGCACTGTGGCACAAGAACAGCAGCAGCTCCCCACCAGGGAGGGAAGAGAAAGAGCTGCCTTCTTCGCAGTGGACCTTGTCAGGAGACAGGGGCTATGGGGAGCCAGACAGTGTGGGGTACTGGGGGGGCATCAGAAAGGGGTTCATAAGGGCTAGTGAGGGAGGACAGACTGGGGCAGGGGCTGAATGGGAGTGGAGGCACAGGGCCACAAGGGGGAGGGAGATTCAGGGCCAGATGGGGTTGGGGCGGGGGTGCAGAGCTACATAAGGACAGTGTGTGGTGGGTGGGGCACAGGCACACATGGGGACAGGGGAAGGGGATGCAGGGTCACGGGGGACAGGGACAAATGTGCCTGACTGACTGGGGGAGTCTAGGGGTCAGCAAGGGTCTGCATACTTTTCCCACCCATATCCAACAACCCTCCAAGTTCACACCCAGGCTCCTTCCCAGCAATTTACTTCCCTCTCCCTTAGCTCCTCTGTTACCCCGACTACCCCAAGCCTTTGCTGTGCTTCTGAGGGGTGCGGGAAACACGGTCCTGTATTGTAGTTTAAATGAATTATTACTCAGAGTTCTGTATTAGTATGCCTAGTAAGAAATCTATTTGTCAAAAAAAATAATAATTCCTGAATCTTTTTTGTTGTCTGTATTGTTACAGACATACTTGCTGACAGATATTTTGAAATAAATGACCAAAAAAATTGAAACTGGTGTGATTATATTGTGTTATTTTGATAAATAAAATATGAAGAATTTGAAAATATTATGTGCAGAATTTTTAATTTTTTGGTGCATGAGTACTCCCCCAGGAGTACTCTATATCATTTGTATTAGGAAGAGCCACCATTATGACATATTAACTAAGAATGTAGAGGAAAAACTCAATACTTGCTCAATTGTTAAATTGTAGGAAATGTGGCTATTTTATCTTCCATACCACTATGATCCAGAATGTTTTTTTGGATGGGTGTTTTTAAATTTACAATGTGTAAGGTCCTAGTCACCAGTATACAGTGCTGTGAAAACGTACCTATAAGAATTTTCCTCCACAGTTTTCAGAATAAAATCTTAGCAGATAAATAAAGAATAAGTGATAAGTATATAAATCTGTATTAGAGCTGGTCAAAAAACCAAAACACTTTTTTCCCCAAAAGTTTTCATGAACATTTCACTTTTGTTTTTCCTTAAAATTCCAAACTTCAGTGAAAAAATGATAAACATTTCATAATTGAATTTTTAAAAAAATCAATTCCATAGCGGTGGAACTTGAAAAATTGAAAAATGTTGGCAAAAATTTCATTTAATATTGAAATTTTGTATTCTATATTTAATAGGTAGAGAACATGTCAGTTTGGAGTACTTTCAGGTTAGCTGAAAGTACAAATAGTTATAAATGTGGGTAGTTGAACATGTTAGTGAATTATAATAAATCTGGTATATATACAGGAAGTTATGTTCAGAAATACAAACTCCAACAAATGGAGAGAGATCACAGTCAAGGGCTAACTCATTCACCCAGTCTAACACATTTTCTGTCCCATGTAATAGGAACAGTTCACTTTTCTGGAGTATGCAACCATTTCTACTTTTAGAGGTAATGCTTATTAGTGAAATAAACTGAGACAATAAATCTGCTAACTGAACAGGTTTTCTTATTAGGAAATACATATCCCAGCTCTGGGTTTTACATAATATTTTTTCCACCACCACTTCCTACTACAGAAGGTCAGAGAAGAAGCTGCCTTAATCCTGGAACTGGGGCAGGAATTATTGTTCTTCAGTGTATCTAGCACATGGTAGCAGACATAGCTGCTAGTATCAGACGTTCTTCAGTGGAGCTGGTTTATGTTGTGTCTATGAGTGCTATGGCTCATTCAGAATTGTTTTCCCTTGTATATTTGATAGCAGTATGGGTTCAAGCAACTAGAACATACCAGATAAGAGTCCATGTCAGTGACTTTGGAGACATCCGTTTTTCCTTCCTTTTGGTAATTTAAAGCTTGGTTTTCATAAATGAAGGACTCTGGTGAAGATATCACAATATCACAAGAGTGGTATTTGTATAAATATATTTAAAAGGGCCATTGCCAAGACAAAAAGTTATATATATATAATATCCTTATCTGTGTTACTACACTTAGATTACTTAAAAATGAAAAAAATTACAAATTTGATGTACTTTTTACAATTGATGCTAGCTGTGTTTTGCATTCACTCATCCTTTGAGTTCATTCAGTTCAAATAGTAAACATAGACTGAATTGTTTCTGGATTCATTTCTGGATCCTATGCACAACTAGAACAATGCTGTTATATTTGGACAACAAATGTTGTAGGAAAAAGTTTAAAGTGAAAAAAAAAGGTGTTTTCTTTTAAATGTGCAAAAAAATCATGAAAACATTTCAAATAACATTAAGATTTGTAAAACTATTTTTTTTTTACAAAAGTCAAATTTGGGTCTAAATGACCCAAGATTGTTTGACTTTTAGAAGAATAAGCTCTTTATAATTTTCTTTTTAAAAGAAGTCAGGCACTCAACTCTGACTTGCAGATACTATGTCACTGTGAAATAAGGGCTCATGTAGGAAAGCAACACCCAGTAAAGTGACCAAAGTTAGACTTAAATCTAACTGTGACCCAAATTACCATCAATTCATGACTATCCCTTTTGTTAAAGCACTGTTCACAGCTAATATGGTGCAATATATTGTGCAGACACTGAAAATCATAACAAATGGTTAAAAAAATCTGATTCCTAACAAGAGAGTAAATGTATCCACGTAAGACTGTCTGATGTCATACCTGTTGCTGAGATTCCAGAGACATCTGTATCTGTCGCTGAGATACCCAGTGCCTTACTGTGAGGCAAGATGTAAAGATCATTTCTGAAAGCCACTAAAATATCTCCAGAACTATTCAGGAAACAAGCAGAGCTGAGAGTGTTATCAAGAAAAATGTCGGCCACCAAATTCTTGTGAATATCCCAGAGTTTCACCATGTAGTCCTCACTGGAAAATAAAGGAATCAGAACTATCTTGTGAAATAGTCTTAATGCTGATTTTAGTAATTCACTGTGGGTGAAATTTTCCCTTGTACAGAGGGCCAACATGAGTTCTATGTACCACTTAATCCCACTAAATCATGAAAGTAGGGTTTAAGCGGGACATAAGTGGTGCAAAGGTTACATGTGGATTTCTGCCCAGGGAAGAATTTTACCCTGTAGGATCAGTGAGAATCCATAAGGAGAGGGATTAATCTGGGTTACCTAGTAATTTTATTCCAGTCACAAACAAGTAGATTTCTTTAACCAATAATAACCAAATTAACACTACAAAAGCAAAGACATTCAGAGTTCAGGAAGGAGCAGCATTTTATCATAGGGACTTTCATGCAGTGAAAGAGTTTACTTAATATAGCATCTACAACGTCAAAAACAATGTAATAAATTAATGAGGAAATAAGCCCTTCCTCCATTTCTGAGAATGGGTTTAATTCCAACAGATTTTTTTAAAGAAAAAATGTACTCCAGATGACTGAATGTCCTGAAGACAGAAGGCATCTGAATAATCATACACTTGCTGTGTCACAGGCAGCTGCCGTGCAAACTCCTCAAACTATGCACCATCTAGTAAACCTCATTCCTATTCTGAAGCATTTGCCTCAAAGAGAAAGAGGAGTGTTCAGTCTCTGCATTCATTGTCAGCCTTTGATGTCTCTTCTAAAATTGCCAACAAAGATTCCAATTAATCGCTAATTGTGAAGGAAGGTTTTATGTTGGCCAATAGGAACTGAACTGAAACCCACCAATACTGGTGCAATTTCTTTATATTTTATTTCCTTTAAAAATAGCTTAGCTTGCAAATGAAATTTCCATTGACAATGTATATGTGAAAACAATGAGGAGTACTTGTGGCACCTTAGAGACTAACAAATTTATCTGGGCATAAGCTTTCGTGGGCCAAATAAATTTGTTAGTCTCTAAGGTGCCACAAGTACTCCTCGTTGTTTTTGCTGATACAGACTAACATGGCTACCATGATGAAATGTATATGTGGTTGTTCAGACGCTTCCCTGGACTGGTTTGATTATCTCTGAAATCTCACCCCCACATTGTTCCTATCCTCCTGCAGTTCTACTTACACTGATATTTCCTAGGTATTTGCTAGATTGAAAATGGGGATGAATTTGGTCCATTATGTCCATAAGTAGTATTCCCAGCATCTCGCTTGGAAGGGGTCTAATAAAGCATAATTTTACCGTGATACCAATACCAAAGTGATGTTACCAAGCTTGAGTTTATTGCGTGGAAAACCTATTGCACCAGCTGTAAGAGTATGAAACATGTTATCAGCCAAATGATAGGTTTTATACGTTTCATATGGATGTACCTGAGCTTCCGTCCTGCACAAAACCCATCTGATTACCGTATAAATAAGGAGACGATGTTCAGTGCTTCACCTACCCACAGCTTAGAAAGAGAGAGAGGGTCTTGCAGGCATCCACTGCTACCACAGGGCCCTTGTGATCATTTGCAGAATCATGACTGAAATCTGGTTCTTCATTTTCCCCTTAGAGACAGAGAAATATAATTTGGACATTCTGAATACCTGACTTTGAATTCCTCTCCCTTGACTGTATTGATGGCCACCCCACATGTCATTGGATAAGTAGTTTTCCCTAGATTTGCAATGGAATCTTGGATTTCACTTATAACCATGTCATCATGAGGAGTTAATGCTCTCTACACTGGTAATGTACAGGGAAACACAACATTTGCTAAGATTGCATTAATGTACAAGGCTAAACTCAATTCGTAGAATTCAATTTTTAAAATCAAAGTTATTTCCACTGTATAGACCTGCTCCTTGGGTCGAGAGTTCTGCCAATATTCCCATGATAGATGCAACCTTGTTTAGACATGGATTTTGTTAGTACAGCTCTAGCAATTTTCCTGACCATTGTGATCATGGAGTTTTTTTCCTCAATCCAAGAACCATGTTAGCAAATTTGTGCTATTAAGCCCACCTATATTACGGACTTTTACTGCGGTTTTAACAAGGATGTAACATGGTTGACTCCATACTATCAGATGGTTAACACATAGAGTAAGATCCTGACCCCATCAAAGTCAATGGCAAAACTCCCATTGACTTCAACAGAGCCAGAATATCATTCATGATTCCTAAAATGAGCAGGCAAATTGTGTTTTGACCTCACTCATGAGCAGAGCTGCAGCATAATTGTCGACCTGTAGCCAAGTTATAATACGGTATTGCTGCTATGTGAAGAGCACTGTTTAATTACATCAGTGTAACCAGGTTTGTCAATCCTCCTAACATAACTCCAACTTTCTTCTACAGGAGTACATCAAAACAGTCATTACAGGGCTGTCAATCTGGTACCTTTCACCACCATAAAATTCTCTAAATTATATTTATAAAATTAATAATATAAAAAGAAGACTGAATAGAGTTAATCCCATTACATGCAGAGGCCGTTGCCAACTCTACTCCCACAGCCTTCAATTTGCATAGTATTATTCAGAACACCTTCAAAATAGACAATCCTTTGCCCCTGGCACCTGCAGCTGAAACAGCATGAAAGAGCTACTCAGCCTTCCCAGAATGCACTGTTAAAATTATGATTCCAGGCAGTGTGATGGGTGTGGGTGGGCCAACAGTGTGCACAATACAACCTCATTGCTTTTTCTTATATCCTATTTCCATGTCCCGGCCTTTCATTTCTATGTTGCTTATTTAGATAAGCTCTTTGAGGCAAGGCCTTTACCTTCTTATATGTCTACAAAGGATTTAGCATGCTGTTTGGTGTTATACAAATAAATAACAACAGTAGATCCACAGACTACTGGATTGGACTGGATTGGACCACCAATACCACAATGACAGTCAGTCTAGGGGAGCAGTTACATGCTAAAGCCTTGGACATGTTAATATAATGATGCCCTTGGAGATGTCCAGGCTCAGTTCAGGGACAGAGTTAAGTCTTATCTACACTAAAAATATAACTATGCTGTACCAGGATAGGGGAAAACAGGATTCTAAACAGGTCCCACAACACAGGTGTAAGTGGAATGCTGAAAGGCCCTACCCATCTACAAAGTCTATGTTATGGTTTTGAATAGGACTAAAGAACACAGTTCTCAGAAAAAGAATCCTGGTACAAACCAGTGAGGGAAACTATTAGTACCTTAATAAGCAATAAACTGTTTAAATGCGTTTTTTGCTTGCATGATTTCAACTACAGCATGGGAAGGGTCAACCAATTTTAGAGCCAATTAAAAAAACAGATGAGATAAAATGTACCTTTGTATCTCATGTATAATACAGATGTGATTCAGTAAGAAAAACGGAAGACTTCTAATAATCAAAGTGTGTGGGAGTGGCATTTACATAGGCAGCAGGCCATTTATGTGCAGAAATCAGGTTAGACCCGGAAGAAACTCCATTTTGCCAATCATGTGGATGTTACTCAACGTTTCGAGAGAGCCCTAGGCTCAGCCCAGCCCTTTATGATGAGAAGGCAATATAAATGTGAAAGTGAAACTTATTTTATTAAGCTATCAATGTTTACTTTATGAAAAGTGCATGCGCTCAGTTCTGATGAAACCACAGGACTGTCAGTTCACAGGACATCATGAGAATTGTAAACAAGGTCCAGGTCCCCTGGAGAAGGTAAAATTAGGGGCTACTCTATACAGAGAGTGCATGTCAAGCTGGGGTGTAAATCTATGGGCACTTTTGCCTGCCATACACTAACAGGCCATGTGGACCTTACTACTACATACTGTTTCAAACAGCAGTATATCAAAGCACAGTAGTGTAGTTGGGGATAAATGCTGGTATAAAATGATTTTACCTACTTCTCATTTGGGGAATATGGAGGTTAGTACAGTTAGTTTATCCACTTTTTTTGTACCACTACACCACTGCAGTAGCTGGGTCAACATGAGAAACCCGCATCATGTGATGCTGTACCTATCCCATGAGGCATTGCAAACCTTTCCCAAAACACCCTGCGGCTAGTTGCGCAATGGCATAGCTACCCACAGTGCACTGCTCTCTGTGTCGATATAAGAGCTGCCAGCTTGGCTGCACTCTGCTGACAGAAGGAGAATAGTGTGGACATGCAAGAGCCATTTAATTAACGCGCTTTAATTAAAGAGGCATTACTTTTGTCAGCAAACCTCTGTAGCGCGGACATAGCCTTAGTGCTGGCAGGCTAGAGTTAGATTTACACCCTGGCTTGCCTCTCACTAAATTGCTGTATAGACAAGCCCTACCTTAGCTGCCATGAAAATCTGTTTTGTTAACCTTTCTGATTAGGGTTGCTATCAATCATTTACATATCAGGAATTCTCATAGAGACCTGTCTGGTTTTGGCATCCATTTGATCTTCTCTTCATGCTGTTACCACAGCAACTAATACTTGAAAGAAAATCTCTTAGCAAGCTAGTTCTTCAGATTGTCTCATCGGGTAGGGATACAACAGAAGTGGGGGCTCGAGGCAGGTCTGAGAACCACTTACCTACATCTTTCTTAAAGAAGGTTTCAGTGTTGTTATTCTGTTTCCGTCTTTTTTCTTTTGACAAGATAAGCATCAGCACTTCACTTTTCTTTACTAAACAATACTCCCTAGGTCTATGTCTCAGTAATGATCTTGCTGTTAAGCCTGCTGTGTAGACTAAATAGCTCTAAAAAGTTTGCTTTCTACATTAAATTTCTAAATCACATACAATTTGGATATTTTGTTGTAAACATTACTCCAGAAAGTGATTGAATAGTGGCAAAATACCCTTACGGAAACAAAAGATATTACAAACAGAGATAGCTCTGAGCTGTGAAAATCAAATACTGACTTCCCCAAAGTTGAAAGGGGTTCATATCCATCTTACAGAGGTTGACCCAAGTTGGGAAGTTGAATCAGGAGCCAAGTTCTCCAAAGTCTGAGGGGATTCAGACATGGAGTTCCAGTTCTTTACACGATATTTCAATGCTGTGTAGGACTAGGTACAGGATCTAAGCATCAAGTTGTTTTGAGAAGGAAAAATATCTCAGTAGCTGTAGCAGAGAATACTAAATGGGCTAATTAAGCATGTGGTCTTCTCACTGCGGGTTGGCTGAAGTGGGGTTGAGTTTTACTTTTGTCTAGGGCCCTAACCAAATTCACGGTCCATTTTGGTCAATTTCACAGTCATAGGATTTTTAAAATCATACATGTAATGATTTCAGCTATTTAAATCTGAAATTTCACAGCATTGTAATTGTAGGGGTCCTGACCCAAAAAGGAGTTGTGGGGTTTGCAGGGTCATTATAGGAGGGGTTGTGGTACTGCTACCCTTACTTCTGCGATGCAGCTGGTGGTGGTGCTGCCTTCAGAGCTGGGCAGCTGGAGAGAGGCAGCTGCCAGCAACAGCGCAGAAGTAAGGACGCCATGGTATGGTATTGCCACCCTTACTTCTGTGCTGCTGCTTGCGGGGCGCTGCCTTCAGAGCTGGGCAGCTGGCCAAAAGCTGCCGCTCTCCAGCCACCCAGCTCTGAAGGTGGGGCAAGAAGTATGGGTGGCAATATCACAACCCCCCTAAAATAACCTTGCAACTGCCCTGTAACTCCCTTTTGGGTCAGGACCCCAGGTTTGAGAAACACTGGTCTCTTCTGTGAAATCTGTATAGTATAGGGTAAAAGCACACAAAAGACCAGCTTTCATGGTCTGTGACGCATTTTTCATGGCCATAAATTTGGGAGAGCCCTATCTATACAACATAATAAGACTGCGGATGCTAAATTCTAGCTTTTTGTTTTTGCCTTGAACACCAGTGTTATTTTGCATCTCTGTTCAGGCTGGCTGTATGCCCCTACCAGAGCCACCTGCACAGATTAACTGTGTCAGGATCATGAGTAATTCAAGTAGGGAAGGGTGAGTTAGTGACTGCAGGCAAATGAGGTGCGGAGGTGGTGGGGTCTGCACCAGTATATGCCAACCACACCCTTACTCCCCTCAACCAAACCTGGTTGTTTTGGGTGGGCCCAGATCAGGATGCCACAGCTGAGCCCCTGATTGTCTTTCTGGGGAATCATTATCCATAGCTCAATATCCAGAACTCAGCCTACTGTAGTATAGTTTAAAATATTCTGTGTCACATGAGTTATATGAACAAGAGAGAAGAGTGCTAATGGGTACTATGCAGAGAAGTAGGGAGCACAGAACATGACCCCAAAACCAAAAACATGGACCAACATAGGTTTCAGCAAAACTTTGCCCCTCTGTAGAACTTGTATATGCTCTTTGATACAAGAGCATGAATAAAACTAGGTGAAGTATTTGTAGCAAAAAAAATCTTATTTGATTACAAAAGACCTTTTTTCTACTTTTGAATAATTCATGAATGAACTTCAATTTCTAAGAATTTGTTATTCAAAATTAGCTAATGAATGTTTTATGCAAATATATTTCCACCTCAGGATTCTCCTCACAACTCTTTACGGAGGCTTTTGCTTTGAGTATTTGCAATTCAAGCTGTGTGCCTGGTCACTTATCTCATGTG